GAATTATAGAACTCATAATAGGATTCTTTTTATTATTATTATTATTATTATTATTATTTTATAATCTTGTTTATTAATCCTAGGATTTTTTGTGGTCTCCCATTCATGCATTTGCTTTTAAAGAATGATTTAAAGAATGCCCAACTCCCAACAACTCTGAGAACTTTACAGAAAAAAAAGTCAGAACAATAAGAAAGGAGAAGGGGGAGGGGGAGGGGGAGGGGGAGGAGGATTTTCTAGCTTCTTGGTTTCGTCTACAAAAAGGATTTTATAAACCGGCTACTACAAGACAACTGCTATAATTATAACAATAATTATAATTGTTATAATTGTTATGCTATAATTATAACAATTGGTAATGTCTATGTGCAAAGGGATGTTTGCATCCCTTAAGAGGCATGAACCTGCTTCAAAAGATAAAGGCTGGAATCACTTTTAATATTATTTTTATTCTTGAGAAAAAGGAGATCATGACATGCCTACCAGCTTCCTTCTAGTGCTTAAAGGCTGCCAGTTACACTATAGAAATGTTGTTTGCTATAAACAGCATTTTGGCCCCTTGATATTGATCAGAAAATTGGAGCTAGGCAACTACTGAGCTAGGTTATGGCACTATTTAAAAACTCCAATTCAAACAGAGACTTTCTGGACCTTAGAAAGAATCTGAACAAAATATGTAGACCATTTGCTGCAAGACAAAAAGAGAATCTGCAGGTTTAGAAATGGTATGTTTGTAAATACTTCCCAGAACTATAGTTTTTTCTACTCTCAAAGAAACAGCTTGATATAATAGTCACAATACAACATGTTTGAAAGCTGATGTAAAGGAGGATCTTCATTTCTACTAAAGCCTAGCAGGAGCAAGAAATGCAGGTTACTCTGCTGAAGTCCTATAGCTATACTGGTTGGACCACATGTGAAATTCAGTTTTAAAAAGTAGGGAGAAGGGTTACTGGGGGCTTCTGTTGACTATCTGAAAAACCTGCATGTACATATCACTTTCTACCAAGCATTGAAAAATTTTATTTCTGACAGCTCCAACCCTGTGCATATGGCCTTTATATGGAAAATGAACTTTGATAATTTCACTTTTCTATTGTATCTTGAGTGTAGCAGTACACAGCATGTACCTCCTAGTTGGTGGAATGAGGGCAATAGCATGTGACAGACAATAGTCATAGAATCCCAGAAAAGACCATGGAGGATGTAAGCATTGGTTCAGGCTTCAGTTAAGAGCTAAAAACATTGTGGAAGGGAAATCTCTGAAATCATCAGCTGCTAATTATGGAAATAAGCAAAATTGTTTCCAAAAATAAGTCTGTCACGCTCTATATACTGGTAAGCCTAGTAAGGAATAAACCTTCCAGGCCTACCTGCACCATGTTCTGTGACTAATCTTAGAACAAGAGTAAGGATCTCCTCTATAACTGGGGAAAGGTGTCTCAGTGCTTTGAATAAGGTTTATTTCTGACCACAAGAGGTCATGAGTTGGCCTGTCTGACCTAAAAGTAAAAGTTATTCAGAGAGGTCAACTGATGAGTTACTAATCGCAGGAATTTGTGGCAGATATCAGAGGAATCAAAGCAAAGTCCCACCACTTTTTTATGTGTGCTGCACATATGATGCATGTAAAAAAAAAAAGTGACAGTGCTTCAATCACATAGTCATAGCCACCATCTTACCATGTTTGGCATTAACATTGGGATCCTGTAGAAAAATGGTTGCTACTAAGGTGGCATGATCTAATCCAGGACTGGTGGCACAGGAAATATCCAAAATCCAAACCAATAAACATAACTGAACTTCTCTTAAGAGCTAAAGGCATAACACCTACAGCAAAAAACAAAACAAACAAACAAAAACTTTTCCTGGGGATGAAGGAAAAGTGCTAATTGCCAAGCTCATCACTTACAGCAATTGCAAAGAGCTCTTTCAAGAGTATTAGGATGAAAAGAAGCCCCAAAATTGTAAAAAGCTAATTGTACATATATATTTGCTTCAAACTGTCATAGACAGTCTGGAAGGAAAGCACAAAGAAGCAATATGGATGTTGCTGAAAGAGATAGGTTAAAAGGAAATTGAACAGTCACAACAGAATAATCAGAAATTACAGGAGAAAATAGAAGTGTTGAGCCAAAATGCCTTGAGAGATTATCTGGATGTGAAGGTCCAAATAGATAAATTAAATAGATAAACGTTGAGACTTGTTACAGAGGATTGAAGCTTGTTGAAGATGCAATTAATCTCTAGCCTTAAAGGGTTGGTAAAAGATCTCACCTTGAGAGCAGACAACTCCAGCCAGAAAAATTGTTAGTTGTTACAAGAAAATTGAGAGAATGAAACACTTGGTTAAAGAAAAGATGTTGCAAATAGCCTGCTGAAGATCCTAACTGAAGATCATAGCAAAGGGTTCCCTCTTGAGCTAAGTGATGAAAAACCTGAATTTGGGGTTTCTAAATGCTGCAATCCAATTGCTTCCTTGACCTCCAGTGATCCAGGAGGGATGATGTTTCAGGACTTGTCTGAATTGGCAAAACAAGTGGGCCCATGTCAACCCTACAAGGTTGACCAGACTAAGAAACCAATGCCATGTAGGTCAGGACTACTTTTATTGTAACAGCTATAGGTACAAGTCTGAATGTGCTTCTTCCTCCCTCCCTTCATTTCTGTGTGAAATAGGGAGGGGTTTGTCTGAGACATTGTTTCAAGTTACTTTCTTGCTGTAGGCTCGGGCCCCTCTTATCTGACCGTTGCCTCGGTAGTGGCTCTTGCTTCTGTCCTTCAAGACCATAGTTAGAATTTTCACTGTGCTGCGTGCTACCAAACGTAATGTTAGATATGCCAGATAAATGCACTGGACTGTGGCAGAGGGGTTGGGCCCTTGCTATAAAACACACCTGGGAGGTGGGCCCCCATGAGAACCCCAAGATTTTGAGACACTAATTTCCAAGGTGCATGTCATTTTGACTCCAAAGGCGACCCTCCCACACACAGGGCTAAAGAAAAAGTTGCTGCCATCACTTATACAAACAAAGCACAGATAGTTAGGTACTATGAACCCAGTACTTCGAAGTTGTGGAGCAGTTAAAGGAAGCTAGCCCCGCCACCCATTCCCTTGGCAAGCCTGGGATTAGAATTGTTATGCAGACCTGGGTTGGTTCCTAGAACAGTAGTAAAATGTTGGACCTTGGAATGAATGCACAGGACAGGATGTGTTCTGAGATGGTCCCTGGGATTATCTGGTATAGCAGAAGTTGAAAAATAGGGGGAAAATCCTGGGTCTGTGGGACAGAAAGTCCACTGAGCAGCTGCAGTGCAGATTAGCAGACTTAGAAAGAAAGACAGGCTCAACAGTGGACTAGGCCAACTGTGGAAAACACAACCAGTTTGCAGACAAGGGAAACCCAAAGTGACTATGTGAAACAGGATCACAATTACATATTGCATGATCACTGATGTCAGATTTCAAAAATTGCATAAAGGAATTCAGGAATTAAAAGTCATCCTTTTGCGACTATGAGATGGGCTGCTAAATACATACATTCATACATACTCTCAGGCCAACAAATCAGGGAACTGACTTAGAGCTAAAGTATCCTTGTTGCTAATATGCAAATGCTACCTGCATACAAGTGGGACAGCATATGCAGTAAAAGATTTAGAATCCTTATTGTAGCCATATGGAGTATCTACATGTACAGGGGATTTTAGACACTGGCAGTCACTGCTGTTAAATCACATTGAAGCAGACAAATTAGATCAACTCCCTTCCACTGTAAGAGATGCTCTAATAGAGCCTGCACTGAGTAGGGGGTTGGACTAGATGACTTCCATTATCCTACTATTTCCTTTAAAATTAAATACTTTTCCTGTTTCATTGGAATATTGCAAAGTTAGAGCAAGTATGCAAAGACCAGGGCTATGATGAATCTGTATTTGTGTAATTGCACAATACTATTATTACAGGATGCTAGCACATTATTCTCATACAATGACCTGAATTAGTATAATGTTTGCCCTTTAATTGATAAGCAAAGGGCTTGTTTGAATTCAGCATAATTTCTTTAATAACAAAAGCTGAGAAAACAGAAAGCAAACCCACAGAAATCATGGGATGGGGGAGAAAACAAAAAGGGAAGAGGAGGAGGAGGAGATAATGTGCTTCTTAATTGAGCCTGTGGAACAACAGTGATTGATGGCATCTCCTTCAGCTCTCTGTTTTGGCATGTTTTTCCTTACAATGATCTCTGCCTATATTAGGTGAGTAATGTCAGAATGAATTATAAATCCAGCTGATGCTGTCGGCAGTTACTTTGGTTAATAACATTAAGAATATTGAAGCACAACAAATAATATATTAATATCCTGTGAGTAGAGGAGGAGGCCCAGCATGGTTTTAAAGGATCAAAAGCCAATTCATTGCTCAGTCCTGTATTAGGACAGAATAATAATACATATAACAAGGATCACTATTTTTATATTTATTTATCTTTATGTATTTGTATAGGTAATTACCTGTAGTTATTTTTTAGCTCTTATTATTGATGCACCAGATTTATTATACTGAGAGCAAGAAGACTGAGTTCTTTTTTCATCCATAACTGGAAGAGACAGAGAGACTAAGAATGATATACGCTGCTTTGCTTCTCTGGAAATGTTGCACCAGTGGGAATTTCTGGAGGCCTGGATGATAAATATAATGTGTGAAGGGATGTTGCATACCAAATTTATCACCTTTCCTCTGTTTACCGGAACAATTTCTGTCTGCTAATTGCACCAAAAGATTGATACATTCTTTGAGTGGAGTTCTACTCAAAATGCTCTTATAGGTGAAAACAGGGATGAAAGGTATCTCTCTTGTCCAAAAGAGTCAGATTTTGGATCCAACAAAACGATATTGAATAGATAGATAGATCATTCATAGATAGATAGATGGGTGATAGATTTTCCAGCTTAAATCAATCCTTGGAGATAGGAAAGCATCTACATTGGAACCCTGTACATGTATGAGGTCCTGTGGCTGCCGGGTATTTTTCTGCCCAAGAGGCAAACAACAAACAGGACAGCTTCTATTTGCTATGTTTACAATGATATCATCATAAAGTTATTATCTCATAGCTGTCGGAAAAGAAGGAAGGGCCACATAATTTGGGGCAGTCAATGGCCCTGTAGTTTCAGACTCCGAAAACTGTCAAGTATATTCAATTTTTAGTTGAATTTTCAATTTGCAAATGTACACAGGTTCAAACCACCATTCCTTTCATCCTGTCCAGCTGATATACTTTTTTTAACAAAGAACTACAATTCTTTTCTCACCACAATCCTTTGGGGGGAAAAAAGATTAGCTGCCCCTCTGAAATGCCTCCTGTATGATAGATTCTACAAGGAGGATCTTCTCAGTAAATCTGATCTTCATCCCGTGGAGTCCTTGGGGTTCTCTGAGCTTGGTTCTTTTCTTGCAAACATTTCATTACCC